TTTGGCACACGATATTCCGATCATGAAGCTTTGAGCACCACGGTAATACCTGCACTTGCATTACTCTCAAAAATATTGATTATTTAATAAAATATACGCTCTACGACATTCTCAATTTTTTATTATATTAAATAAAGTCAAAGATCAATTTAAAAAAAATTTATACAAATATCTTGTGAGGTTTGTTCACAATCTATTGACTAAGTCTGCATTAGATTTCAAACCACAGTAATACCCACATTTACCCTATATTTCAAAAATTTAATTATGTCTTAAAAATGATTAAAAGACAATTTTTAAATGATTTGTTTATAGTTACTTTTTGGATTATCAAAATCAAAATAACTTGCACTTTTTTACTAAAAATTGTGGTATTTTGATGCAACGTTTGAAGGAAAAGACGAAATAGTCGCTATGGTATTGATATAATATTATAATAATTATAAAAAATAAAGTGTTTAATTAAATTATAGTGTTCATTTATTATTTTAATGATTAACCCATTAACGCTTAAAATAAGAAAATTCTTTGCGCAATGTTAACCTATACTTTTATGAATAAAACGGATCATATTTTATACCGCAAGTATGTTTCTTATAGGTATTGAGAGTGCTCTTTTCGATTCCGGTGTAAAAAAAAAATTCGTTTAACCCAAAAATTAAATATGTCAGTTTTAATTCCAAAAACACATAAAAAATTCATTTTTAGAGTTTGATAAATTTTTATATATTATTTGAAAACTGGTTGTAACACCTTTAAAACGCATTTTTTAAATATTTTGTACAATAATTTTTAAGAATAATATGATCATTTGTTTAAAAAATTAGCCATTTTTTTCAATTGTTGATAACTCAAAAACGATTCGTTTAAAAAAAATTTTTAAGAACATAATTGATCATTTTTACAAATCAGTTTACAAACAATAAACTTAATTATATTACACAGCCCCACAAAAAAAATGTCGTGCGCGGCAGACCAGACTAGTCATTTCCTATGTATTTTGACGCGCTGAACACGAATCCGAAGTCCGTTTTGCTCCATCACGTCAGGATTTTTTCTAACCTCAAAAAATCTGTCGGATTTTGAGAGGTAGGCTATTTTTTCTTAAATTAATGGATTTACTTTAAACTTGGTAACTAGGGGTTTTTTGGGTCGCTGATGACAAATTTGAAGTTAGATTTTCAAAATTCAAAATGGCGGCTCCAATATGGCGGACGAATTTTTTAAAAGTTAATGGATTTACTTCAAACTTGGTAACTAGGGGTTTTTTGGGTCGCTGATGACGAATTTAAAGTTAGATTTTCAAAATTCAGAATGGCGGATCCAATATGACGGACGAATTTTTTAAAAATTGATAGATTTGCTTCAAACTTGGTATCTAGGGGTTTTTTGGGTCGCTGATTACGAATTTGAAGTTAGATTTTCAAAATTTAAAATGTTGGCTCCAATATGGGGGACGAATTTTTTAACTATTGATGGATTTACTTTGAAGTTGGTATCTAGGAGTTTTTTGGGTCACTGATTACGAATCTATAGTCAGACTTTCATATTTTAAACCCCCTGCACGGAAAAAATGTCCGTGCACCGCTTGTCTCACTTCCAACGCAGTTGATGCAGAGGTTGTCCGATGGAAGTGCGTTTGCTGTCTCTAAAAAGGGCCGTATATGATCCCTTTTCAAAGTGTAAGATTTGTACTGTAATTAAGGACCATGGGTGCACATATAGAGATAAACAGTGCACAGAAATTTTTTCCGTGTGGCTGCTCCGAAAGATTTTTTGGTAGAGTGTTGTGTAGCGGGAACTGTTATTTTTTGTTTTGTAATGAACTACTCTCAAGAACTGACAGTTGGGTCTCATTGCATCATAGAGATCAATTCGGCAAATGCACAAAACTTTTTTCATTGAGGTAATAATGTGACAATAAGATGTAAAAGTTAAATAATAAATTTTTAAGCAACAAGATAAAAAGGAAGTTTAATATCCTTTATCCTTCACTATCTTATTCCTTAAAAATACATTGTTTACCTTGTACGCTTTGCACTTTTATTGTGTTTCAGCACAATACTAATCCTGCTGCTTCGATAAATGTAGTAGGCGATGACAACTGCCCCGAAAGGGGATGTGTAAAATGATTCGCTTCCTGTTTATCAAAGTAATGAAGCCAGCGTAGGCGCGCAACCCTGCAGGGGGACGTTAGGGTGTGAGGATGATGCCGTAGTGTGTCCGACGACAAGTTGACTTTGTCCTCGTCAAAGTCGGAAAGCTCTCATACTTAGGCCTGGGGAGGTATGAGGGTTATCACCCCTAGGACGGCGGACTCACCTGCGATCGGGCCAGGATCCCTAACGTGCAGGTTTTCACATAAATCATGGCTTCTCAAAATAAAAACAATAATAAAACTCCGAAGGCTTGAAAACTTAATTTTGCAGTAACAACGTCGGAACACTTATGCGACAGCAATGCAGATGCATTTTGTTACATATGTGGACAATTCGATGTCCCCAAAAATCGTAAATCAATAAATGAAAATAGCAAACAGATCTACAAAGATTATTTTGATCTTGAGATAACCAATCAGGATAAAAATTTTGTTCCACACAAAATTTGCAGTTCCTGTTACACAATGTTAGCTCGTTGGAATCATAAAAAAGAGGATAAACTAAAGTTTATAAAGCCAACTTTGTGGGAAAAACCATTAAATCAAAAAGATTGTTATTTTTGCAACACCAATGTGCAAGGATATAATAACAAAAATAAAAAGAACATATTGTATGCTAATGTCCCCACTGTAAAAAACCAGAAATTTCATGCAATCCACCTTCTTCTCCCAAAACCTTGGAAATTGACACTTCAACTGAAGATGTTCTAGATTTTGAAAATAAAGACATGAGAACCGATGATGAGGACGACTATTACCTTCCGTATGATGAACAGGAGATAAAGATTCGACAAACGTTTAACCAAGAAGAACTTAGCAATCTCATTAGAGATTTAAAATTGCCGAAGGATTGTGCAGAACTTGTTATCAAAAGGCACAACAGCTAGCTTTTATCGAGACAGAGAAAAAGAATTCCGACAATATTTTACAAAAGATGAAAATCCGTCGTTGGTATATTGCTCAGATGTTGTCGGACTCATGAATAAATTAAAAACAAATATATACAAAGATGAAAATTGGAGACTATTTATTGATTCTTCGAAAAGAAGTTTAAAAGTAGTACTACTACATAATACTAATATTTATGCTCCAATTCCAATAGCGCATTCAACGGAAATGAAAGAAAACTATGAATATATGAAACTAGTTTTGGATAAAATTAGATACCGAGAACACAACTGGCAAATTTGTGGAGATTTTAAGATTTTAAGCATACTACTTGGACAACAATCAGGTTTTACAAAAACACCATGTTTCCTGTGTTTGTGGGACAGTAGAGATCGAGCAAATCACTACATTAAAAAACAATGGCCAAAAAGAAATTCTTTCGAACCAGGATCAAAAAATATAATAGAAAATCCCCTAATCGACCCTTCAAAGGTGATAATTCCATCCTTACACACGAAACTAGGAGGAATGAAACAATTTGTCAAAGCTTTAGATAAAGAAGGAAACTGTTTTAAATACCTGGAACAAAAGTTTCCAGAAAAATCTGATGCGAAACTAAAAGAAGGGGTTTTTGACGGACCACAAATTCGCAAATTGTTAAAAGATGAGCAATTTATCACCAAGATGAATAAAAAGGAGAAAGCCGCATGGCTTAGTTTCAAAGCAGTTGTCGAAAATTTTCTGGGTAATCACAAGAGTGAAAATTGGGAGCAAATAGTTAGTGATAAGATTAAAAATTTTGGTAACTTAGGATGCTTAATGAGCATAAAGATGCATTACTTAGACTCGCATCGGGATCGATTCCCTGAAAATTTGGGAGATTACAGTGAAGAACAAGGAGAACGATTCCATCAAGATCTTAAAGAATTTGAGCATCGTTATCAAGGAAGATGGGATGTAAATATGATGTCCGACTACTGTTGGATGCTGAAAAGGGATATTGTACCTGGAGGCACCAATTTGAAACGAAAACCATTACACAGATCCTTTGAGGACAAAAGAGTGCGCTACCATAAAAGGACGTGAATACCTTACTTATGTATATAAGAATTTCCATTTCGAGTTTTGAATATCTAACTTCAGATTCGTAATCAGCGACCCAAAAAACCCCTAGTTACAAAGTTTGAAGTAAATCCATTAACTTTTAAAAAATTCGTCCGCCATATTGGAGCCGCCATTTTGAATTTTGAAAATCTAACTTCAAATTTGTCATCAGCGACCCAAAAAGCCCCTAGTTACCAAGTTTGAAGTAAATCCATTAATTTAAGAAAAAATAGCCTACCTCTCAAAATCCGACAGATTTTTTGAGGTTAGAAAAAAATCCTGACGTGATGGAGCAAAACGGACTTCGGATTCGTGTTCAGCGCGTCAAAATACATAGGAAATGACTAGTCTGGTCTGCCGCGCACGACACTTTTTTTTTGTGGGGCTGTGTTATAGAGAGTTTAAAAGCAATACATTAAGGGGACCCGCACCTGAATTTGACTGTATCAAAACAAAACAAAATTTAAAACACTGTAACATTTGATATAATTAAAAATTCATAAAACCCATGCCCTTAAAAATGTAAAAGAGAGTGAAAATGAAAAAAAAAAAAACAAGAACCATAAATAACTGTTGCTAAACAATAAATTTTATACAATGGTCCTTTATTTGCTGGCCGTATTATTTTTTGCAGCAGCTCATCTTTAGCAGAAAAATGAAATCTTTGTTACCTGACTATTTTTGCCCCACATTCACGAATATATAAATTGTTGATTTAAATTAAGATTTTTTTGCCATGCCATTCTATGTATCGATTCTGGAGACATAAGAAATACGTATTCAAAATATCTCTTAAAGTGTTTATATATTGAAATATGTTATTATAAATTAAATTGGTGTTGTTTTTCAGACGAGGTTTTCTCATCATAGACGAATGTCCATCTGTAGATACAGAAAACTTTACACCAACTTTGCTACAGAGACATAAAGATTCTTTATCTGAACTAATTAGAAGAGATAAAAATCGACCATCAGTAATAGCATGGTCCATTGCTAATGAACCTAGGACACAATTAGCTGCTGCAGCTGGTTACTTCCAAGAAGTAGTTCGGCATACCAAAGCATTAGATTCATCGCGACCAATTACAATAGCCCTTTCACGAGGAGTTGATGTAAGTCTACTTTTGTTACTTTTTCTTCCTCTTAAAGGAAGCCTTATAGTGATGTCGATTTCCGCACTTCTTAGAATCAATTATTTTTACAAATTTTCAAGTATAGTATATATATTTCTTCCAGAGGAACAAATGTACGGATGTATGTGTGTATATGTATGTCACCCGATTCTTGTGGACAAATTTTCTCTTACACGTTTTGACGGATTTTGATAAAATTTGGTAGGTGTATTACTGTCACGAATGTCTAAAATCAGACAGAAGGATTGTCAAAAATATCTAAAAATAAACATTTTTTATCAATTTTTTAATTTTTGAAAAAAATTGATTTTTGTATTTTTTAAATAACTTTCTTCTTTTTTAAAATGTTCATTAATTTTTGCCAAAATTGTATTCATGACATAGAAAAGAATCAATTCATGTATATACCTAAAGTATATATTTCATCAATATTTCTAAAATAACACAGGCACACTAAAAAAAAGTGTCGTGGCCGAGACACTACAGTAGTATATTCCCATGTATTTTTGGCCGCTGAATCCGAATCAGAAGTCCGAATGCTCAAATTGGTTCTTTTTTTGAGTTATACTCAAAAACGACTCAAAACACGAATTTGAACCAAAAAAATTAAAAAAAATTTGTGTGACATAATAATAGCATATTTTCATGTATTTTTTCCCGATGAATCCGGATTCGAAGTCAGAATTGACAGATGTGCTCAAAATTTTGAGCTAAACTCAAAAAACGACTCAAAAAACCGAATGAAAATGACGAAAATAAAAATTTCTTCTGTGAGACTGCAAAAGTATATTCCTGTGTATTTTTTCCCGCTGAATCCGAATTCGAAGTCAAAATTGACAGATTTGCTCAAAATTTTGAGATAAACTCAAAAAACGACTCAAAAAACCGAATCAAGATGAAAAAAAATTTTTAAGACACTACACTACTATATTCCCATGTACTTTTTCCCGCTGAATCCGAATTCGCAGTCAGAATTGACAGATTTGATCAAAATTTTTAGATAAGCTCAAAAAATTGATAAAAAAAGCGATTTAAAATAAAGAAATGGAAATTTTTTGCTATGACAATACACTACAGTATTTCCATATATTTTTACACTCGGATCTCGCATTTGAAGTCAGAATTATTCAAATGGCTCAAAATTTTGAGACACACTAGAAAATCTGTTCAGTTACAAAAATTGAGGCTCCGCATCTTAAAAGGTCACTTTAACTATTTAAAATCAATGCTGAAAGTGCCCTTTTATGAACTGGAGCCTCAATTAAAGTCAAGTATCTCTACTTTTCTTGCTAGTACACTACATTTGTATATTCTCATGTTTTTACAACTGCTTCTAAATTCAAAGTTAAAATTATTACATTGGCTCAAAATTTTGAGTTAAATCCAAAAATGCTCAAAATTTAATTTAATGCAAAAGAGTTCATTTTTTTGGTATTCGATAGTGTATTCTCATGAATTATATATACACTGAATACAAATTCGAAATTAGAATTATCAGCTTGGCACAACAATTTTTAGAACTCAAACCCTGGTTACAGGTACAAGCGAAATAAATTTTCGTCTAATATATCACAAGCTAAGACAGAGTTGTTTGAGTGAGGTAACTCTCGATTCGTTCTGAATATCAAAACCCTCCATTATTATAACATAAGGTTTCGACAAAAATTCCCTTTTACATGCATGTTTTTAAGCACTTTTAATGAAACCCAAAATTTTGAGCCATTTTGAAAATTCTGACTTCGGAATCACAGTGAAAAAATACATAGGAATACACTAGTGTGTAGTGTCATAGCAAAAAATTTTCTTTTTTCATTTTAAATTGCATTTTTATCGATTTGTTGAGTTTATCTCAAAATGTTGAGCAAATCAGTCAGAAATCTGTAAATTCTGACTTTAAATGCGAGATCCGAGTGTAAAAATATATGACTGCGAATTCGGATTCAGCGGGAAAAAGTACATGGGAATATAGTAGTGTAGTGTCATAAAAAATTTTTTGCATCTTAATGCAGTCAAAAAATTGAAAAATTATAATTTATAGACCAATTACTATCAAGCTTAATTCAGTAGTATTTTTGGGGTCTGATAAACTTTTGACGTCAAAATAATGGAATTTAGAATTATTTGTTTATCCAATTAATCAAAAATTTTCAATTGTAAAAATTTCGAAAATATTAAAATTGGAGATTTTTTATGATAAAATTCGCAGGAATTCAAGAATACTTGTGATACGATACTTGCATTAGTATCTGGGTTTTTCCCAGCTTTGTCCAAATTTTTCCAGGTGTATCTTTTCTCATCAAATATAAATTTTCTTGATAAGAATTAACAATAAATAAAACTACAAATGGCTACAAAAATTCACTTATTTTATGAAAATACTCTTCGACGGGTTTTTGTTTTTACTAATATTTTTAACAGGGGTTCTACCAACTGGAAAAAACGAGAAATATGCAGGAATTTAATTTAATTGGGAAAAACTGAATTCAGCCTGCAATACCCTGTAAAAAAAAAAGTATTGGGAGGTACGGGATTCCGTATTGCAAGTGCCAACCTGCCAATGCGGTATTCGCGAAATACCGCATTGGGTGTCGTGGTGAATACGGAAATCAAGGGGTCCCAATGCGGTGCAAGTTTTAAGCTTTAAAAAAACGAAAATACGTGACAGGAGGAAATAATTAGTGTCAGTGCAGAAATATGCGAGTTAAAGGAATGAGAAAATAATAATAGTGAGTGTAAAAATGAAATTTTAAGAAAAAAAGGTAAGTTGAACTGTCAAATATGAGTCCAATGCGGCGTAGGCTGCTTTCAATGCGGTACACAATCGGTACATAGTGCAAGTCGCCAGTAGAGGGCAGAAGCAAGCAGAGCGAATCGAGCGAACACAGTGGCCCAGCTGACATATGATTTGCATTACATTACTTTCCAATTTTTTATTTTATAACCACGTTTCTGCATGAATCTAAACAATATTTTCTATTATTGTAATTTAGAAGATGCTTACCAATTGTACGTTGGCAGATTTAGTGAAAAGTGTCTGTGTACGGAGACAAATGTGTTAGAAAATGTTTGTTTACCTATTTCACGCCATTCAAACCAGTCAAAGTTGCTTTTGCTGTGGCGCATTGAAATCAGCCTATGCCGCATTGGGCCCATATTTGACAGTTCAACTTACCTTTTTTTCTTAAAATTTCATTTTTACACTCACTATTATTATTTTCTCATTCCTTTAACTCGCATATTTCTCCACTGACACTAATTATTTCCTCCTGTCACGTATTTTCGTTTTTTTAAAGCTTAAAACTTGCACCGCATTGGGACCCCTTGATTTCCGTATTCACCACGACACCCAATGCGGTATTTCGCGAATACCGCATTGGCAGGTTGGCACTTGCAATACGGAATCCCGTACCTCCCAATACTTTTTTTTTTACAGGGTATAGATCTTATTTTAGATTTTAGCAATTATGATACAATTAGTTCGAATTTGACTTTACTATAACTCCAAAAACTGGTGGAAATTTTGGGTTGACTTATAATACAATAATTAAATTTCTACAAATAATTGACAAACATTGTTCTCTGCATTTTAATTAATTAAAAATAAATTATTCGATGATAAAAAGTCAATCACTGATTTAGAATAGTAATACAGTAGGATCTTTCATTAGTGCAGTTCTGAACAGTGTAGTCATTAGTGAGTTGAGTAGACAAGGGGTTTCAGGGGGCAAAGGGAAAGGGAATCTGTGACGTCAAATACAGTGCCGTCGCTCATTTGATTATTTAGTATCATTTAGTGGTGCCCGGTATTTAGTAGTAGAGGACCCTTAATTTTCTTGACACGGACCTGAATGTTTTAGTTTTTGCTTGCTTCGAACAGTGCACAATATTCCCGACGACTGCACTATTGAAAGATTCTACTGTATTTTTCTAATGAAATAGTTAATGGTAGCTAATTATTATTTTTTCCGGTCAAATTAAATTCCCTGCTATTTCCCATTTTTCGAGACTGGTAGACACACTATTGAATCTATTTGCAGAAACTAATACCCGTCGAAGACGGGTACGACAGCTAGTACAGTAATATGAATCTAAATAAACAAAAACACTTTTAGTAAAAAAGTGAATTTTTTAAATTTAATTGTAATTAATTCTATAATTTTCAATAGAATATATACTTTATATACATCAATCGATTCGTCTTGATGCAAAAAATAAAATTTTTGATTTATTTTTCAATAAATAATAACACTTTATTGTACAGCAACATGATTCTTAAGAAAAAATTAATTTTTATTAAAAGTGCAAATTTTTTGTCTATAATTGGTTTTAATCGATTGGTACATATAAAGTATATATTATATTTATATAATATATACTTTATATGTACCAATCGATCCGTCTTGGTGCAAAGAATAAGATTTTAGAAATAAATGAGTAAGATTTTCTTATATGGCAACATAATTTTGCGGAAAGAACTCATTTTTTGATAAAAATGCGAATTTTTCAGCTTTAATTGTGATTAACTCTATAAATTCTCATACAATTTATACTTTTTATATACCAATCGATTCGTCTTGATGCAAAGAATAAGATTTTATTATATATTAACTTCAATAACCAAACTTAAAAAATTTTTTTGAAAAAAGTCCAAAAAAAAATTTTTTCTGAGAATTTTTTAAAGTCTATCAATCCATTTCGAGATATTTTTAAGATAAATATACCTGGTAAATGTTAGCCAAATTCGTTAGCCTCTTCGAGTTATCGTGTTCACAAAAATCGGGATCCACACACGCACACATACACACACATGCATACATCCGGACAACTGTTCAGGGTGTTATATAACATAGTCCTATAAAGAAGAAAATTTGTTAAAAGGATTTTTAAAAATTTTGTAAATTAAACGACTACAAAGCTTCCTCACGAGGAAGCAAAAGGAGTAATCTCTTTTAGAAATATGAAAAAAGCGATTGATATTT